ATGGGTTTGAACCGCCAGCCTTCCGGTTGGTAGTCAAGTGCCTTAGGCACTATGCTACCGGAGCTCCTAAGCCAGTACAGTACTGGATACCAGTGGGGTGAGCAGATTCCAATTGTGAACACTTGGAACTTGTTCCAGCCACCGGGCCTTGGTACTCATGATCAGAAGGGCCCTGACCTTGTATTAATGACTTCCTTCAGGTCTTGGCTCACATGTCATCTCAGAGTTCTCTTTACCCCTTGGGAAGTAATCCTTTGATCTTCTCCACACCTCCCCTGTGTCTACCACGACTGTCCTGTCTGTCTCCTTCATAACAGAATCACAGTGTGAAATGTCCTTTACCCCTTGGGTTCTTCCCACACAAGCCATCTCTCCTCCCCAAACTCAGTAACAGTCAGGATCTTGCCTTGTTCAACACCGTGTCCTAGTGCCTGCCTGACTCTTGCAAGGCACTCAGTGAAGCAGAGCAGCTGAATAAATAGTCTCGCTTGCTGTGCTAGAGTTTAAACTGTATCAGATAGGCAGTGGGTTGCAGGCCGGCCGGTCCACTGGAAGCAGGCGCTGAGACAGGATTTGCATGTGAGATGTGAGAAGTTCAGTGCAACTCCAGCCTCATTAGGCCTCAGCCAGTCTGATGGAGGGCTCAGAAGTGAGGGTTGCCCCTCAGGGACTTTGTGTCAGGCCAAGATAGCCAAGCCTCTACACCCGGCCTCACCCATGCTGGGGGGTGGACTGCTCAGGGAAGGTCAGCACCTTGGATGAGGCCGTCTGCTGTGACGACAGAGCCTAGGGGCTGCCCCAAAGGAGCAGATTCCTCCTTGAAAAGGAACCGGGGCAGCACGTCTCCACACTCACTGCCCCTGGGTACCTGGGGACATGTCCAGCCGAGAAGAAAATGATGGTGTTTGTGGGTAGAGAAATGGCTGTGAAGGAGGCAGACTTCAGAGTGGTACATGGAGTGTGAAACTGTGGCTTAACCCCCACAGAGCTGTGTCTTTGTGTCTACAGAAGTGAAAACAAAAAGATCC